GCCAATCTCATGGATACAGAGAACAAATTGGTGGCTGCCTGAGGCAGGGGAGTCATGGGGTGAGTGAAATAGGTGACGAGGGTCAAAAGGTACAAACTTCCGGTTATGAAATGAGTAAGTCACAGGGATGTAATGTACAGCATGGTGAGTATAGTTAATAACACTGTATTGCATGTTTGAAAGTAGCGAAGAGAATGAATCTTAGAAGTTCTCATCACAAGGAAAATATTTTTTGTAACTATGTATGGTGATAGATGTTAACTAGTCTTATTGTGTGATCATTTTGCAATATACACAAATATCAAATCATTACATTGTATACCTGAAACTAATATAAGGTGTGCATTATGCCTCAATTTAAAAAGTTTTTATTAACAGTGGCTTTCTAAATTAATGTACATTGATAGTATCAATGTATGTTAATGTATATTGATAGAGTTCAAATAATAGTTATAGAAAAGGGATTTTTAATTTATTTAGAGTTTCTTGTGCTAACATTTATATTTCTTATATTCTGTCATTCTTTTAATGTATAATTTTTAACTTTATTTATACTTCTATGTGTTGCTTTAGTCTTCAAGCATAATTGAAGCTCATTAACTTTTTGTTTATATAAAAAATTTTATGTTATTTCAACTAGTAAGGCAATGGGTGTGTAGTGGCAAGACTATAGACCTAAGGATGAGAAGATCTGAGTTCTAGTTCTAAGGCTATTTTTCTCTGATTTATTGATACGTCACTTAGTCTTTCTGTGCGCCTCCATCCATGAAAGTGCATAACAAGACTTCTGATCCAAACAAAATGGCATAGACTTGTCTCTCCTTGCTTCTTCCTGTTATGTACAACTGTAAAACCCAGAAACAACACAAGAGACAGTCAGGAGAATTCTGAAAGGTGGAAAGAGGAAGACAGTTTGGTGCAGGACCCAGAACTGGCAGGACAAGACAGCAGCAGAAGAAGGGGACCTAGGCTTGGTGTCTCTTGATCTCCAACCTAGCGACAGAAGGTGTCCCTTATTCCACCCCTAGATTGAGTGGGAGCCCTGCCAACAGTACCAGAAGAGCCCAGCAAAACTGACAGGAAGGATTGGAAGTCCTAGTGACAATAAGTGGCTACTAGGGAAGTGCTTTCCCACCCTTCCGTGAACGGGAGGTGGGGACAGGCAAGGATCCCATCACAACCAACCTGGCCTGGGAAGCAGTCTTCACCTGCGAAGGTCAGAGGCTCCCTCTCCCACCAGAGGCACCCCAGATGGCCTATCTGTGGGAACTCCCTCCACCCCTTCAAGCAGCACTGGCTGAGAGCCTACTAAATTCCCACCTTAAGAAATTAGAAAAGGAAGAGCAAAATAAACTCGAATCATACAGAAGTAAGGAAAGAATAAAGATGAGAGCAGAAATCAATAACATTGAAAATATCAAAATAGAGAAAAATCAATGAAACAAAAAGCTGGTTCTTTGAAAAAAAGTCAGTAAAATTGATAAACCTTTAACAAGACTAACAAAAAGAAGACACAAATTACCAGTACAGGAATGAAATAATGGATATCACTACAGGTTCTCCAGACATTAAACGGGTAATAAGAGAATGCCATGGACAACTCTGCATTCATAAACTTGACAACTTAGAAGAAATGGACCAATTCCTTGAAAACCACAAACTACAAAACTCAACCAAGATAAAATAGATAATATGAATAGTTCTGTAGCCATTAAAGAAATTGAATTCATAATTTAAAAGCTCTCCAAAAACAAATCTCCAGGCCCAGATGGTTTTACTGGAGAATTCAAAGAATTAACACTAATTTTACACAGTTTCTTCCAGAAAACAGAAAAGGAAGGAACACTTCTCAGCTGATTTTATAAGGCCATTATTACCCCGATACCCAACCAAGGCAAAGACAGTACAAACGAAGAAAACTACAAATAAGTATCTCTCATGAACTTAGATGAAAAAGATCTTCAACCCAGTATTAGCAAATTCAACAATATGTAGAAAAGAAATATAAATGGACTTTATTCCAGCTCTACAAAGCTAGTTCAATATTGAAAGTCAATCAGTGTAATCCACCATAGCAACAGGCTAAAGAAGAAATAGGAGAAATATCATGTGATCATATTTTGTGTTTTTTGACACACAAAAAAATCATGTGCTCATTTATGATAAAAACTCTCAAGTTAAGAATAGAAGTGAACTATCTCATCTTGATAAAGAGCATCTACAAAAAATTTACAGCTCACATCCTATTTATAGTGAAAGGTTAAATGTTTTCCCTCTAAGATTCCAGCCAGCAAAGCTTTTTGTAGGCATAGACACGTATTCTACAGTTTATATGGAAAAGTACAGGCCCTACAAGCTAATAAAACAATCTTGAAAAAGAAGCTTAAAGTGGGAGGATTTATTCTACCTAGTATGAAGGGAATAATCAAGATGGTGTGGTATTGGTCGACGGATAACACTTAAATAAGTAGGACAGAATAAAGAATCCAGAAATAGACCCACACAAATTTGCCCAACTGATAGTTGACACAGGTACAAAAGACTCCTCGATAGAAGATCATTATTTTCAACTAAACAGTTGGACCAAAAAAGAACAATGAACCTTAATCTAAACCTTTTTATATAAAAATTAACTCAAAATGGATCACCAAATTAAATGTAAAAGTATAAACATTTTAAGAAAAAAACATAGGAGAAAATTTTGGAACTCAGGATCAACAGAGAGTTCTTAGACTTGACAGCAAAAGCATGATCCGTAAAAGGAAAACCTGATAAAGTGGACCTTATCAAAATAAAAAACTTTTGCTTTGGAAGGACCTTGTTAAGAGGATGAAAAAACAAGCAAAAGAGAGGGAGAAAATATTTTCAAACCACATATTCAAAAAAGGACTAGTATCTTGAATGTATGAAAAACTCAAAACTCAACAGTAAAAAAAAATTCAACTAAAAGAGGCAAAGACATGAACAGACATTTGACTAAAAATATACAGATGACAAAGAAGCACATGAAAAGATGTTCAACATCATCAGCTACTATGAGGGAAATGTAAATTAAAACCACAATGAGATATGACTATACACTTTACTAGAATGGATAAAGTTAGAAATAGAACAACAAATGCTGGCAAGGATGCAGAGAAACTGGATTGCTTCTCCATTGCTGGTAGGAATATGAAATAGCACAACTACTCTGGGAAACAGTTTAACAGTTCCTTATGGGGCCAGCCGGGTGGCGCAGCGGTTAAGTGCACACGTTCCGCTTCTCGGCGGCCCGGGGTTCGCTGGTTCGAATCCCGGGTGCGGACATGGCACCGCTTGGCACGCCATGCTGTGGTAGGCGTCCCACATATAAAAGTAAAGGAAGATGGGCACGATGTTAGCTCAGGGCCAGGCTTCCTCAGCAAAAAGAGGAGAACTGGCAGTAGTTAGCTCAGGGCTAATCTTCCTCAAAAAAAAAAAATTTAAAAACAGTTCCTTATTAAACTAAATAGGCAACTACTGTGACTCAGTAACAGTATTTTTGGGCATTTAACCCAGAGAGGTGAAAACTTACGTTCACACAAAAAACCATACGTGAACATTTATAGCAGGTTTATGCATAATAGCCAAAAACTGGAAACACTCCAGATGTCCTTTGACAGATAAATGGTTAAACAAACTGGTATATCCATACCATGAAATACTACTCAGCAAAAAAAAGAGACGAACTGTTGATGCAAGCAACCACTTGGATGACTACTACTCAGAGAATTATGTTTAGTGAGTAAAGTCAGTCTCAAAAAGTTGCATACTGTTATGTTCCCATTTATATAACATTCTTGAAATGACATTATAGAAATGGAGAACAGATTAGTGTGTTTGCCAGGAGTCAGACACAGCGGTGGGGGGGGCACCAAGAGAGGAGAGTGTGGCTGTGAAAAGGTGGCGCCAGGGATCCCTGTGGCTTGGAAATGTTCTATATCTTGACTGTATCAGTGTCAGCATCCTGGCTGTGACATTACAGTTTTACAAAATGTTGCCATTGGAAGAAAAAAGGGCACACAGGATCTCTGTTTATTTTTTACAATTGCATGTGAAGCTACAATTGTTTCAAAATTAAAAGTTTAATTTTTAAAAAAAGAATGATGATACCTGCCCTTTCTGTGGCCAAGAGTCATTGTAAGTCTGAAAGGAGGTGCAAACCGGGACGAGCGGTGAGTGTCACTGTGGCGCACGTGGTAGCAAGGAGCTATACCCATCCATAGGTTTATTTTGACATACATTCAGTATTCCTACTCTGCCTTATTTAGAAAGTATTTACAGTAGTTTTGTGTATTGTTATCTTTAATAGTAAAGTTCTTTACCTGTTCACCAAATATATTGTGAGGGCTTTCTTAGTGCTGGTCATACTGGGAATGAAAAAGAAGGGAAAAGAAGTATAATAGACTGAGTTCAGCTGCAGAGCTTCCATCCCACATGTGAACAGAATTGAACATAGGATGGATCTGGAGCTGGTATTTGTTTTTAAAGCTTTGTTTTTACTGTAATGTAATATTAATTCTATATTTTAAGTTTCAGGGGACTCATAAAAGTTCTGGTGTTTAGTTAGCTGGTAAACTTGGTTTTCATTAATCAGGACCCTTTTGTCCCCACATTTTACTATCAGTTTGGAATGCGTCTGACAATCAGTGTTGGCTCTTAGTTGAATTGGCAGCATCTTTATTCCTGATAATACGTAAAGTAATCATGCATCTTACACTTAGCGGCAGGTTAGGCTCAGTGAGATCTGGTAATAATGTCTAAAACCAACTGTTTTGCAATTTTAATCTGAATATTTTACCTGTCCTAATTTTATTCAACAGTTTTGGGGAGAGGCTTTTTCCTTCTTTCAAGAAACTGTTAACAGTTTGAGGGTCTGATGGTAAACTCTGTGACATTCTGTGGTAATAGTATATTACTTACATAAACCCAAATGTTGAAACCTTACTTCCCTTCATCTTTTTTTTCCTTTGTTTTTCAAGTGTCAATATACAGTATCTGGTTTTATGACAAGAATGACTGTCACCGCATAGCCAAACTCATGGCCGAGTAAGTATTTATATTACTCCATAGATTTAATTAATGATATGTGAGAGATGAAAAAATGACTTTTCCTCTTACTTCTCTTTGTTACTGGAGTCTATTAACTTACTTATTTCTCCCCTAATTTCCTGTTTATTGTCTAAAATTTGGAAAAGGCGGAAAAGCTTAAAGAAATCTAAAATTATCTATAGTCCTGCTACTCCCAATGTTAGCATTTTAGTCTGTTTCCTTCCAGTCTTTTTTTTATCTGTACATTGGGTCTCATGTGTCAAAAATAGGATCATACTGCACATCCTCCTTCTCAGGTCAGCAGCATTTTTCCAGGGCATTAAATAGTCCTCTGCAGTATTTCTAATGACTGATGTATCCAGTCCTGCAGACAGATCATAATTTAACCAGAACCTTACTGTTAAACGTGGTTAGGGCGGTCAAACTGCCTAACTCCAGAAGAGATCATCTATGTTCAGTGCACAGCCTAACCATCATATGCAGTGGATCTGATTTAGGTTCTCCCGATGTCCCCTGTAACAAGTAGCACTGTGTCTGGTAGCTGATAGAGAACTTCCGCACACATCCATGTTTACTTCCTTTAAGTGAGGTTTTTTTTTTGGCGGGGAGAAAGATTAGCCCTGAGCTAATATCTGCTGCCAGTCCTGCTCTTTTTGCTGAGGAAGACTGGCCCTGAGCGAACATCTGTGCCCATCTTCCTGCACTTTATATGCAGGACGCCTGCCTCAGCATGGCTTGCCAAGCGGCGCCATGTCCGCACCTGGGATCCGAACCGGTGAACCCTGGGCCGCTGAAGCAGAACAGGTGAACTTAACCGCTGCGCCAACCAGGCCGGCCCCTAAGTGAGCTTATTTCTGACGCACATTCTAGGTGTAGTAGTCACCAATCCACTGATGGATTATGTTCCAGGAGATTTTTTTCTAAGTCATAGTCTTGGAATTTGGAAAGTAATTTTCATTGAATTAATGTTCTAAAGGCTAGCTCATTGTCCTTTCTCAAGCTAGCCCACAGAAGCCACCCCCCATGGGGCTTATCTATTTTGCTGGCGCTGCCAGTCTGGATTCTGGGCACACAAGACGCTACGGTGCTAGAGGGGCCTGAGGTGCCACAGAGCTCTGGGCAACAAGCTACACATTAGCAGTGTATTCTGGTGCACTTAGGTTTCCTTTTCAATTTTTGCCTGAATCTCCTCAGAAATGTGGACCTCTCTTCCCTCTCTCTCAAATCAAAATTCCCTTTGCTCTCCTGTGAAGTTTTATCTACATGTTTGGAAGAAAACAATCTTAATTTTTTTTACAGTCTGATTTTAAGCTAATTCTTGTAAAAGTGGAAATAAATCATTGATCCCCAAACCTCAGTTCCAGGTATACTTGGTTTTGAAAGAAGTGCACATGACTAAGGCCGAGTTCGTCCAGGCCTGCCGAGGTGTCCCAATGGGATGGTTACCGGCCTCCTGCTGTTTGCTCTGCTGTGAGCGCGCATTGCTGTCTGCTGTGCCATGGGAACTGGTGTCATTCATAGTTGAAAACGTGTTGGCTCTCTGGAACCACGCTTTCTTTTTAGAACACCTTTTCTCTAAAAAAAGATAAAAACTACTTTTTTACAAGGCCAATTATTTGGTGACTACTTTTTTTGTAGTTTTAAAAGTGACAGCAAAGAGCTTACTTCTGATTGCTTATAAGACACAGATTTGTTGATTCTTATTTATCCTGAAATCCAGAATATTTTTCTTAAGTATCTAAGCTTTGGAATTTATTAACGTGTAGACTTTCTACTACAGATTGAGAGCTTTTGGATTGAGAGAATCTGGCTCTTTTAGCTCTAACAGCTGTTCACAGGAAGCCATTTTGAGCTTTTTTTCTCTCTCAGGGCAAGTGGTACCCCTAATGCCAGACTTCAGATGGTGTAAACGAAGCAAAAGACTGAAGGCCTACCTGAAAATAATTGTTTTGAACCCAAAATAGGATGAGGAAGCAGAGAGGGAACACAGAAGCGTTCACTAGAAATACCCCAAAGAGGAACAGTTGCCTAAGCTTTCAGCTTGTTTTGCTAGAAGCAGGGAGGTATTGGAGTGATTACAGGAACGCCCTCGTGAAACCATTGATAGCGATTTTTCAAGTGTCTGGCCTATTTATGGCTGAAGAGAATACCTTAATGTTAACATTAACTTTGTGATAAATGGCATTCTGGTCACCAAAGATAAAAACAAACTGCCTTATCTTCCTGTGCTCTGACTTTGCCTGCGCACAGCCTCTGTTTGCTGCGTGTTTCAGAATATCACCTCTGCTAACTAGAAATACAGGAAAATTCTTTTTGGCATGTTATGTCTAAATAAATGTGCCTGTCAGTGCTCATTCTGTTAAAGTTAGTTCTTCCCATCACTGTTTTAATAGCTGAAATATAATAATAATTCTCCAAGTAAAAAATTGATTTATTCCAAAAGATATTTATAAAAGCTGAGAAGCTATGCAGGAGAGCAAGCAAGCTTGTAGACCTGTATTGTCTAAATTTGGAAATTCTCTTTGGTCAGTGGCAAAGTTGAAAATCCACTACACCTGGAAAATGTTGACTCTCCTAAGGAGGAAATCTAGTCTACCAGAAACTATTTTGAACAATAAAAGCTTCTTTGACTGTTTGCCCACGTAGACTGTAAAATTTGGAGAACTCATGGAAATGAGCTTTATTCCTGATAGTCTTAGGGGGTGTATTTGGGGGTTTGAGAGGAAGGGAGAGAGGCGAGACCACTCTTCACAGAGTTCAAATTGGAAGAGGCTTTAGAGTCTAAGCCTCGCTCGTGCGAGGGTCCCTTCCGTACCACCCAGGAGCCTCCCGCTGTCAGCAGTGGTGAGCTGTGTGAGGTGCCCTGTTCCACGAGTGAACAGTGGTGATTATTGGGAATTTTATTCCTTTGAACCAAAATCACAGATCCAGTCCAGGTCAAGAGAGAGGTGAATACCAGCATGGGCAAGCCGGGCATCAAGGCAGGAGGTAGGTAGAAACAGGCTGTGTGACCGGAGTCCCTGATGAAGGTAGATTCAGACTGGTGTGGCCTATAACTATTAGTGAATGTCACTTTAAATAGTACTCCTTTTTTTCTGATGATTAAAGGAGTGCCTGTTAATTATGGAAAATGGAGAAAAGTACAAAAAAAGAAAGTGAAATTGCTTGTAATCCACTATCCAGAAATAACCAATGTATGTCTCTGCAGTCTTTTTTTCCTTTGCAACAGGCCTCACGGTTGTGACAGAACAGTATTTCTTTCCCAGGAGTTGATTACCAGTATAGACATAAAAGAAACAATATTTATTCTAAGTGGTCTGTTCCTCATATCACATACCAGTCTTGTTTCAGTCTACCATAAAGTTCATGATTCTGTGTTCGTTTTAGAAATAATAATCCTATTAAGAGCTATAAAAATCTAGTTAGAGAAACACCACCATTACCTTAAAGCAGCATTTTCCAAACAGGAATTCTGCGTTCAAATAAATTTGGGAAAATCTATAAGCCCACCGTTCTTGGAGAATCATAGTACATTTTAGCCTGTTAAAAACTCAGAATGATTCTGATCACTAAGTGGGTAACTGAGGTCAGGGTGATTGTGGCAGTGCTCTTTATTTTGATTGGTATTGCTTAAGCTAATTCTGCACTTGAAAATACATAAAGCAAGAAAAGTCGATGGTTAAGAATACCACTGGTAGGGTCGGGGTCTTCAGATCTATCTGTGGAGTTTCATTTCTTACGAACATCCTCTCCTCCATATATAAAGGTCTGAAACAATTACAGCAAAATGTTAGGAACTGAAAGGTGGGTGGTGAGCACATGGATATTTTACTGTTTCTTATATTTTTCTTCAAGCTTGGAATAAAAATAATAAATTTTAATAAGGTAACTAATCTTTTTTTCTTTTTTCTGTTCTTGCTGAGGAAGATTCACTCTGAACTAACACCTGTTGCCAACCTTCCTCTTTTTGCTTGAGGAAGATTGTCCCTGAGCTAACATCTGTGCCCATCTTCCTCTATTTTGTCTGTGAGATACCACCACAGCATGGCTTGATACGGTGGTGTAGGTCCGTGCCCGGGAACTGAACCCATGAACCTGGGCTGCTGAAGCAGAGCGCACAAACTTAACCACTACACCACTGGGCTGGTCCCAGCCTTTTTTTTCTTTTTAAGATTCGTTCAGGTTTCAATCCCAATTGTAATAAATAGGTCTACCTGGGTATTATGGACACAGTAACAACTTGATAATTGTATTAACTGAGAACTTTCCAGACAGTGATGATGATAGGCAAGAAACAATTCAGTAGTAAGAGGTTTGTTTTTATTGAGGAGGAGGATTAGGACAAGAATAGGCCAAGGCCACTCAGTGTCAGTTCACTGCTTTAAAACAGCCTGCCCAGGAACTCCCATTAGCACATGTGGGCTGGTTCTTTTATTTGAAAACATTGGGTCAAACAATATTAAACAAATTTTTTTGTTTAAAAAACAGGAGTAGTTGTTAGTGATCTACTCCTGGGACGAGGTAATTGAGGCTCTCTTTTGTATTGCAAGGACAGTGTCATCATGTGACACTCTTCCTATACCCTTGGAAGATGGACATCAAAAAAATTCTTGGGTCAGATTGTGTCTAAAGAAATCTTTCTAAAATCTGGTTCTCCTCCTCTAGTGTTGTAGAAGAGGAGACACGGCGGTCCCAGCAAGCTGCTCGGGAGAAGCAGAGCCCCAGCCAGGCCAATGGCTGCAGTGACCACAGGCCTATCGACATCCTGGAGATGCTAAGCAGAGCCAAGGATGAGTATGAGAGGGTGAGACTCTGCGTGCTGACCGGGAAGACCGAAAGGTGGGGAGGAGACCTGCAAGGGGCTGATGGACTGGGAAAGTCACCTCCAGGGCCAGCAGAAGTAATTAGTCAAAAAGAAAACGTATCTTACAGTTTCAACCCTAAAAGATAAGGAAAGAAATTTGCTTACCTCAGAGTCCTTGACTCGGCATGAAAATTTAGAATGCTCTTTTTCTATTTCTGTAAAATTACCTGGGAGAAAATGGTTTTGGAGTAAGGAAGTTAGTCTGCAACAGGTAGGTCTGGAAAAGCTTCATGCCTCTTCTTCACCCCTGCATCTCTGCTAGGTCTTAGGAATCTCTGTAGTCTTTGAAAAGTATTCTGGTAATTTGTACTTCTTAATACTAAAGAGTATGTTTATGGTCTGAAATTGGTTGTAGGTGGACCGCCTCATTAAACATCATTTGGAATTTTACGCAAATGAGAGGCTTTTCTAGAATTCATTTTTTTCCTTTCTATTTTGTATTTTAGTTTAAAAGTTAACTGATTATATTTTCTCCCCAAAGTTGAGTAAAACGGACGTTGAGGTGCATTCGTTAATTTATTCAGTACATACTTATGAACTGGCCACTATGAGCCAAGCATGGATATTTCCTCAGTGGTCTTCAGACCATGCGGCTTTGGAACTGTCCTGGCTTTTCACTTGACATTAGCACTTCAAAGCCCCACACTTGACTGGAGTGAGACAAGGTTTCCACTGCTGGCACTTTGTTTCAGCAGAATTATACTTGTCACCTTACTCTTCACTAACACTGGGTTAAGTACTTTTCTCTCATTTCTTGTGTAGTCCTCACCGCACCAAAAGTTCAAGGAACAAGGTGCAAACAACAATCTCTAAGACTGGGTTTCTCAAAAAGTGCTACTCTAACACGAGCCTCTATGTGTTAACAACAGGTGACCCTTGAAAAAAGGTTCCGGTTGGTCAGATGAGTTAAGGAAACATTGTTAGCTTGGCTGTTCCTCCCCCATCCCCTTGGCTTTACAGTGCTCCAGACTGAGGTCCAGTAGTAAATAAAACAATAACGCCAGTTCCCAGATTGATTTGACCACAGGACCATTTTTCATGTACTACTCTTTTTTTTTTTTTTTTTTTGAGAAAGATTAGCCCTGAGCTAACATGCACCACCAATCCTCCTCTTTTTGATGAGGAAGACTGGCCCTGAGCTGACATCTGTGCCCATCTTCCTCTACTTTATATGTGGGACACCTACCACAGCATGGCTTGGTAAGCAGTCTGTAGGTCCACACCCGGGATCCGACCCAGCGAACCCTGGGCTGCCAAAGTGGAACACGTGAACTTAACCACTGCACCACTGGGCTGGCCCCCACATGCTACTCTTTAATGTCTCAAGAATCTAGAGTTCAGGGAAGAAACTTTGGAAACAGTGCTCTGGAAGATGGTTTCCTCTAACTAAAAATAAAGCGTCATATTCACCATAAACTATAGTAAATGGTCTATGTTCAAACACCAAAGCAAGTCCCACTTCTTGGGTAGAGAAGTATGCATTAGAGCCCATGAGAAGTTTCAAGTTGTACCAAATGCCTCAATGTCTCATAGAGAACCAGGAGGAATTTATGGATCTGTGAAAATTAATATAGGAAAAGCAGTCTTCTCTATAATGAATTCATTGATTCTTAGGAAACTGGATGAGAATAAATTTCAAGAATCATTTTCTGAACTTTTAGGTTACCTTACATTCCCCAAATTCCCTCTCATGTCCTTAATGAAATCTGGGTTATCTACATAGAGTCCTTTTTCTGTTTTTATAGAGGCCTTTCAATGTTCTGATAACAGGTAGCTAGTAAGTTCAGGCCTCTGTTACCCGTTCCTAATGATGACTAGATTAAGGTGCCACCCGGGACAGAAAGCGCAGGTGCTGCACGCTGGAGCAGACACTGCAGAAGGTGGGCTGGCTTACTCCAGGCTGAGAAGCGAATAGCCACAAAAGGAGAGGAGGAACTGAAGCCTTGTTTTGTACACAAAGCTGTAAAGGGACTCTAGGTAAAGCAGGCAGTCAAAAAATCTGAGATGATTTCTAGTTAATACGCATTGCAAAAGTAAGACTATGGAGAGCACAATAATTACTGTTGTAAACAAAATTCTTCCACAGTATGGAAGAAATAAAATATCTGTGGTTAGATTAAATCTTTGGGAATTTAATTAAATCTTTGATACTTAGTTTATAATGTGTTTTTTGTTTTTGAAAACTGTCCGTAAGTAGGTGGAGCTTTCTTATCTGCACTTGCCTGTTATCTAAGTAAATGGAGGTGGGGTTAGCGGTGCCTTGAGTTCCTGCCTCTGTGTGGATGGGCCTCCCCAGCTGCCTGGTGGCTCCAGGCGGCCCCTTGTGTATCTTGAGGTGGAGACTCGGAGGTGGACAGTCAAGCACAGAGGCGCAGCCTGGCCTCGGGGGTGGGATTTAGTCCCAGTTCTAAATCTCCCCTGCCCGGTGTGTATGACACAGTGAATGAAATGCCAGACTTTGTGTGAGGAATTTATAATAGAGACTGTTTGAAAATAAAAAGTCTCTCTAGTAAACGTTTTCACCCCGAGTCCTATAGTTTGTTTGAACCACCTTTCCTATTTTTAATGTAAAGAAAGATAACTGAAACTGGTCCCTTTCTGAGTTGCTTCTGGCCACAGGATGTAATCCTGGATTTTGGTAGGGGAGGGTGGTTTGTTTTGTTTTAGTTTAATTGCAAAAAAACCTTTTTAAACCCATAATTTTTTTTGTTCTTAAAAAAATAGGAACACCATTATTTTTCTTAGGTAAGCAGTACGTATTAAGTATAGACAATTTTATATTTAAAAATTACAATAGAAGAAAAAAACATAAGGCCACCACCTAGAAATAAATTACTGCTAATACCTTGTTATGTATCCTTCCAAAAAATATGTATAAAAATGTCCCAGTGTTTTGTATGCTAGTTTTATTAGCTAGTTTTAAAAGTAGTTTTTATTAACTCTTTTCTAACCTATTTTTTCCCCAGAGAACAATATCTTTTTAGGACGGTGACTATTCATTTCACAGGGAGTATGTGAGATTTCATTTGGAACAATTAAAAGTTTTTGAAAAAAAGGACCATGATATTAATAGCTGTGTATTTTTCCTTCTGTGCCTTATATAAATAGTAGCCTAGATTTTTCTGACTCTTTCTATTAAGAACTCAGAAACATATCCTTGTAGCTAAGTCTTCATATACAGCATTTTCTCTTAAGGTAAGTTACTTGCAATGGAATTAGTGGATCAAAGGATTTTGACATTTTTAAGGCTTTTAACCAGGTATTATAAAATTACCGTACGGAAAATTTGTTTGTGATTGTTCGTTTCCCCTAATCCTTACAAAGACTGGAAACTGTCATTAATAAACAAATTCAGAATAAACCTTCCAGGAAGGGCCCTGCACACATTTAAAAAAAAAAAATTGAAGTTCTGGACATCTTTTAATGTACAACTCATCTTGTAGTTCAGGTTGAGTTAAGTAAGTATTGCAGACTCAAATGCCCCAAACCACATGGGCTCTGGCAGTGCCTACAACAGGCCACAGTGGAACTGACACGAACAGAGCTTGTCCTTATGTCAGAGGGTCAGTTGCAGCTCAGCTCCAGCATTCCCCATAGTATGTTGATACAGGTTGATGGTGATGTTGCACAAGGAGATACGTTGGAAGATAAGATAGTTCATAGGCTTTCACAGACTGTTTTCCTCTGTTTAAATGGGTAACACTGAGTAAATGGTGTTCTGAAATAATATAAGGATTCAGTAATTTGAATAGAAAAAATGCGTATCATCCATTACTTAACATTCTATCCTATGATAAGCACATATATTTGTAGTATGGTATCAAGAAAATTAATGTGTCTCTGGATTGAAGTTTAAGGCTTTTTTTTTCTTTTTACCTGGTCTCTTGAGTGTTCTCAACTGTTTTTGGTATCTGTTTTGGCATTGATAATGCTCACCAGATGCTGGATCAGTTAGCCCAAATATAACTTGTTTCTAAAAATTCAGAATTCCATGTTCATCTAGTGATCACATTTTTAGGATTCTCTTTAAGAACAAAAGTATTTTCACTTTTAGTGTTATATGCATGTTAATAGGAATTTTAAAACATTTTACTTTAAGGGGCTGGCCCCGTGGCCGAGTGGTTAAGTTCGCGCGCTCCGCTGCAGGCGGCCCAGTGTTTCGTTGGTTCGAATCCTGGGCGCGGACATGGCACTGCTCATCGGACCACGCTGAGGCAGCGTCCCACATGCCACAACTAGAAGAACCCACAACGAAGAATATACAACTATGTACCAGGGGGCTTTGGGGAGAAAAAGGAAATAATAAAATCTTTTAAAAAAAAAAAAAAAACATTTTACTTTAAAACATGAATGTTTTATCATCTGTGATAGTAATGTTTAGAGACCTTTTTAGTTTAATTTTTAAAAGTATATGCTGATTTCAACAAATGATGTTGAAAACAATTGACATTTATATGCCAAAAGAAGTTAACCCCAACCTAAATGTAACATCTTATACAAAAATCAACTCAAAATGGATCATAGATCTAAATGTAAAACATAAAACTATAAAAATTTAGAAGAAAAGTATATGCCGTATGACCCAGGAATACCACTCTTCAGTATTCACTCTAGAAAAATGAAGCTTTTAGCCACACAAAACCTGTACACAAATGTTCATAGAAGCTGTTTTCACAATCACCAAAAACTAATATATAGCTCAGATGTCCTTCTAAGGGAGAATGGTTCACAAAGTATAATGTAGTCATACAGTGGAATATTACTCAGTGATAAAAAGGAATGAACTATTAATACCATATAACAGTTTAGATGAATCTCAAAGGTACTATACTAAGTGAAAGAAGCTAGCCTTCCATTTTTTACGACATTCTCAAAAAGACAAAACTGTAGTGACAGAGAACAGATCACTAGTTTCCAAGAATGAAGGGAGGAGCGAAACTGCAATGAGATGGACAAGGGAGGATTTTAGGAGGGTGGTGGAGCTATTTTATATCTTGGTTGTGGTGATGGATACACAGATAGAACTGTACATCCCAAAAATGTTAATTTCACCATATGTTAACTTGAAGAATAAAATGGAAAAGAATCTGTAATAAGTTAATAGCTTTGGGTTTTCCTTATAAAAATAACAGTTGTTCCTAACACTATTGTCTAAAATCAAGTGCTCAGCTTTCTAGAAATTTTATTGTGTAAGTTATTTACATGCGGGTCCAAAGCAAAACATTTGGGGGGATTTTTTCCTTGTTTTCTAAAAAGCATTTCTGCTAACATTGAGTGCTGTTTTGTGAGCCAGATAATAGCAATCTTTTTTATGTGGTATACTTTTCCTTTCAATTTAAGAATCAGATGGGTGACTCCAATATCTCCAGCCCTGGGTTGCAGCCGAGTACTCAGCTCTCCAATCTGGGAAGCACCGAGACTCTAGAAGAGACGCCATCCGGGCCACAAGATAAGGTGTGTGTACAGCTAAAGCCCCAGCTTTGTCCAAGATAGCAAAACACAGAGGTGCATTGTGTAAGGATTTTAAGGCAGTACAAGTTTGATTTGTCATTTATCTGTCAAGGGACGTACGAGCGGCAGCATAGTGACATCCACTCATGTCATTTCCCCTCATCCATGTAGCTATCTTTCATCTGAATTTTGCAGTAGCCTCCTGTCTGGTTTCCAGCTTTTTTGGCCACTCTCTTACCTATTCTTAACACCACAGCCAGAATAATCCTAGTGAAACATAAGTTAGATCATGGCATTCATCTGCTTAAAGCTCCCCAGTCATGTTCCATCTCACTCAGATAAAAGCCATGGTCGTGGCAGTGACCCACAAGGCCCTTCCTGATCTCCCCCCCACCCTGGCCTCATGTCCTACCTGTCTTCCTTGCTCACGTGGCCCCAGCTCGTCGTTTCTTGTGCCTTTACACAAACATGGCAGACTTGCTCTGCCTCAAGACAGGCCTTCGCGCTTGTGGTTCCCTTGGCCTGGAATCCTTTCCTCCCGGATAGGGCTTGCTCCCTTACTTCTGTCAGGTCTCAAGTGTCCTCCATATAGGTGAGGCCTTCTCTGACCACCCTATTTTTAAATAACAATCCTTGCCTATCCCTGTCTCACTGTGCTTTATTTTCTCCCCAAGACTTCTACCCAGCTAACATGGTTTGTGGTTTTCTTGTTTATTCGTTGTGTCTCCTCCCACCAAAATGTAAGCTCCCATCAGGGCTGGCAGTTTTGTCTACCTTGTTCATTGCTGCCCTCAGCATCTAGCATTGTATATATTTATTGACTGAATTAGTTCTGTTTAAAACTGATGGCTTGATAAATGAAGAGATACCAAGTAAAACCCATAGTTTTTTAATTAAACTTTTTATTTTGAGATAATTCAGTTGTAGGAATAATGCAGTTGTAAGAAATAATACAGAAAGATGCCATGTACCTTTACCCATTTCCCTATCGCTAACAGCTTGCAAAATATAGTACGCTATCACAACCAGGATATTGACACAATCTGTCAATCTAATTCACATTTCCTCTGCTTTATTTGTATTCATTTGTGTGTATATGTGCACATATATATTTAGCTCTATGCAGTTTTATCTCACATACAGCTTTGTGTAGCCACCACTACAGTCAGGATACAGAAGACTTCCATTACAAGGATCTTTTGTGTTGCGCTTTTATTGTCACACTGACTTCCATCATGCCCTCACTGCCTTACCCACTCCTCCCATCCTTAACCCCTGGCAGCCCCTAATCTGGCAGTCTCCAGTTCTATAATGTTGTCATTTCAGGAACGTTGTATAAATGGAATCATACAGTATATAATCTTTTGGGATTGTCTTTCTTCACTCAGCATAATTCCTGGAGATTCATTGAAATTGTTTTGTTTATCAGTGGTTTGTTCCCTTTTATTTCTGAGTAGTATTCCTGATACTGAAGTACCACAACTGGTTTAACCATTTTTAACCATTCACCTGTTGAAAGACATCTGGTTGTTTTCCGTTTGGGGGTATTACAAATAAAGCCTCTGTGAACCTTTATGTATAGGTTTTTGTACATAAATTTCCATTTCTCTGGGCTAAATACCCAAGAGTGCAAATGTTGGGTCATTTGGTAATTACATGCTTTAGTTTAATAAGAAATTGCCATATTGTTTCCCAGAGAGGCTGCACCATTTTACATTCCCATCAGCAATGTATCCGTAATGTTTTTAAGTATTTAGTTGGTAATTAACTTAAACTAGATTTTGTATACCACATTCTTGTGCTCCATTTTTGCTGTATTTGGATTTAGGATCCTAAAGCTCAAACATAAAATAAAAGCAGTGCTATGTAAAATTTTATTTTTTAAAAATATATGTGGAGGGAGGGAGGGAAGAAGCAGGCTCCCTAGATTCCTTCTGGTCTGGTTTATCAGCCATGACTGTTCAGTGGGCCACTCACTTCCCCTTTTCGAATTGTGAATCATTTCCCCTTTCCTTTCTGATTCAAGGGGTTAAGAATTCTTGCACTTGTTAACTCACAGAGTTATTGTGAGATCCAAATGAAAAAATGGACCCAAAAAATGCCTAAACAACCCTAAAGCACTGTCCACTGACAGATGAGTGTGACAAGCCATAGACGCTCAGCCTTTCAACAGAAGCACCAGTGATGGATCCATAGACATACAGAATTCAAGTGGGCACTCAGAGAATTGTACCAACTAATGTGAATAGTGCTGATCCTGTTATTTCTTCATTTTTCACATACTTTTAAAATCCCATTTTATAGGCCAAAGTGACAAAACTTTGTAAAATGTTGAGATCTGGAAATTGTCAGAAACCGTGCAATTTGCTAAAATTACCTTAAAATCTGTAAGCAGCCTGTACACATAGATAGTACGTTTGTTTCGTAACACTGCCATCTAGTGCTGAGGGGCAGATAATGCCGTCAAGCCTTAATAGTATTAAATTCCATTTCAGTTTCATAATTCACTTATTAAAATTCCCTTGGGACTTATTTCCCTAATTTGTTTTGTATTGTTCTTTGGTTCCTGTGTTTAAGAATAATGCGTACCTTCTAGGAAAGTTCCTCAACATAATAAAGAACATATATGACAAACCCACAGCCAACATCATACGCAATGGTGAAAAACTTGAAAGCTATTCGTCTGAGAACAGGAACAAGACAAGGATGCCCACTCTCACCACTCTTATTCAACATAGTGCTGGAAGTTTTAGCCAGAGCAGTTAGGCAAGAGAAAGAAATAAATGGGATCCAAATTGGAAAGGAAGAAGTAAAACTGTCACTATTTGCAGATGACGTGATTCTATATATAGAAAACCCTAAATAATCCACCAAAAAACTATTAGAAATAATCAACAAATAGAGTAAAGTTGCAGGGTACAAAATTAACATAGAAAAATCAGTTGCATTTCTATACACTAATAATCAACTGGCAGAAAGAGAAGTCAAGAATACAATCCCATTTATAATCACAACAAAAAGAATAAAATATCTAGGAATAAATTTAACCAAAAAGGTGAAAGACCTATGCAGTGAAAACTGTAAGGCATTATTGAGAGAAACTGAAGAAGACATAAAGAAATGGGAAGATATTCCATGTTTATGGATTAGAAGAATAAATATAGTTAAAATGTCCACATTACATAAAGCAATCTACAGATTCAGTGCAATCCCAATCAGAATCCCAATGTCCTTCTTCATGGAAATAGAACAAAGAATTCTAAAATTCATATGGAACAAAAACGACCTTGAATACCCAAAGCAGTCCTGAGAAGAAAAAACAAAGCTGGAGGCATCACAATCTCTGACTTCAAAATATACGAGAAAGCTACAGTAATCAAAACAGCATGGTACTGGCCTAAAAACAGACACACAGATAGTGGAACAGAATTGAAAACGCAGAAACAACACGACACATCTTTGGACAGCTAATCTTCGACAAGGGAGCCAAGAGCATACAATGGAGAAAGGAGTCTCTTCAGTAAATGGTGTTGGGAAAACTGGACGGCCACATGGCAAGAGAATGAAGGTAGACCAGTATCTTACACCATACACAGAAATAAACTCAAAATGGATCAAAGACTTGAATGTAACACCTGAAACCATAAAACTCCTAGAAGAAACTATAGGCAGTATACTCTTTAACATCAGTCTTAGCAGCATCTTTTCAAATATGTTATCTACCCAGGCAAGGGAAACAAAAGAAAAAAATAAACGGGACTACATCACATTAAAAAGCCTCTGCATGGCAAAGGAAACCATCAACAACAACAACAAAACCACCAACTGGGAGAAAATATTTGTAAATCATCTATTTGGCAAGGGGTTAATTTCCAAAATATAGAAAGAACTCGTACAACTCAACAATAAAAAAATGAACAACCTCATCAAAAAAATGGGCAGAGGATATTAGCAGACATTTTTCCAAAGAAGATACACAGATGGCCAAGAGGCACATGAAAAGATGTTCGACATCACTAATTATTAGGGAAATGTAAATTAAAACTACACTGAGATAGCACTTCACGCCCGTCAGAATGGCTATAATTAACAAGACGAGAAATAACAAGTGTCAGAGAGGATGTGGAGAAAAGGGAACCCTCATACACTGCTGGTAGGAATGCAAACTGGTGCAGCTACTATGGAAAACAGTATGGCGATTTCTCAAAAAATTAAAAATAGAAATACTATATCATCCAGCTATTCCACTACTGAGTACTTATCCAAAAAACATGAAATCAGTAATTCAAAAAGATTTACGCACCCATGTTCATCACAGCGTTATTCACAATAGCCAAAACGTGGAAGCAACCCAAGTGCTCATCAACCAGTGAATGGATAAAGATGATGTGATGTGTCTATATATTCAATGGAATACTATTCAGCCATAAAAAAAAGAGAAAATGGTACCATTTGCAACAATATGGATCAACCTTGAGGGTATTATGCTTAGCAAACTAAGACACAGAAAGACATACTGTATGATTTTACTCATATGTGGAAGACAAACAAACACACACATAGATAAGGAGAACAAATTAGTGGTTACCAGAGGGAAAGGGATAAAGGGGCACATATTATGGTGACAGATTAAAACTCGGCCGTTGGTGGTGAACATGATGCAGTCTATACAGACACTGAAATATAATGTGATAAGTCAATATGACCTCAGTTAAATAGTTTTTTAAAAGAGAATAATGCATCCCTTCTGGTGTGCTCAGTGCACTGACCAGGTAGGAAATCTGACATAGACACAATAGATCCAAATAGAAATTTGAAATTCTCTAAATAGCAAGAGCTGTAGGTGAGGAAGGAACAATGTAAAACCTGATACAGTATATTAGAATTTTGTTGTGCACCATACATGCTGTTGCTCACTGAATTCCATTTCCCAAGAGGAACGGTACGCCTAGCACTTGGTTTAATCAAGGCATTACAAAACTCAAAATCCAGACTTTAGGCATATTCAGACATGAGGAAAGAATGAACTTTCAACCTTTTCTATGGATGGATGAATCCATGAATAAGCCCGCTACTAGGAGAATGGAGCCAGTTTTTCTTGTTATAGGCAGAGAAGTGTAGAGAGGGTCCTGTCAAAAGCAGAGACTGTAAAACTTTTGGGAACTTGTGTGGAGAAGCATGCTCTGCTCACTCAGCCTCTTCAGACTGATGCAGCCAGTTACGTATTTCCAAAAATTGAGACGTTTTGACCTGGAGCCACCTCTTTGTTCATCAAGACTTAATTGCACCCCTGTTTTCCAAAGGTCAACATCGCCATGCAGTTGGTTAGTTAACCTGCAGTCTGCTTAATTGACACCTCAGTGTGCTGGTGTATTGGTTAAGAACGGACTGGATTGTGGGAACTAGGGTGGAGTTGGGTTCTGTTGTGCTTGGGCATCATCTATAAAATGGCTGTAATAATAGTGCTGCGCTGGCCAGTTAACAAAGTAATGCTTGTAAAGTGTGGAGCACAGAGCTCCCGTATAGTGAACATGCCATCCGTGGCAACTCTTACTGCCATCGCAGCTTTATTTATTCCTTCTTATGTGAGACACCTTGAACCCTAATGCTTTACCAGGCACCCTGTTCTAGAGAAACTCTGAGAGTCTGTTTCTGGCCTGGCCAAAGTTGTAGGAATGCTACATGGGGAAATCTGGAAACTTTCTTTTGCAATCAGAGTTCAGGGTTCCACCATATGGTTACATTTTCTAATATAAAGTAGATTTTAAACCATTAGAAATACCTATTTTTAAGTGTAAGTGTGGTAACATCCCAAATGTAAATGCAGATAATTTTAATTGTTCAAAAGTTGATTTGTGTTTCACTGGACAGGTAAAAGTTCCTACGTGGATCATACTGTTCTTGAAGCCTAAGGTATATTTCATGGTGAGGCTTCTCCATGTCCTGTTTCATTGCTCCTTTTCTTATAATATGAAAATAGTATTCTTACCTGGAAAAGACTCTTAAATTTCTGCAAATAGCCCCAGTATGGTCTGTATTTTTCAAAGAAGGTATATCTAGATGTTGGTTTGTGTGTGTGTGTGTGTGTGTGTGTGTATAAATTTCTGCAAATAGCCCCAATGTGGTCTGTGTTTTTCAAAGAAGGTATATGTAGATGTTGGTTTGTGTGTGTGTGTGTATATATAGATATACACACACATATATAAAACAGAATGTGGTGGTGAAGCTCTACATAATTTGCATTAATGAATAAGAATTAGTGTAGTTTTCCAGTACTTTTTTTGCAAGCAATCTTGAACATCTTGTTCTAAACATAGTGCGTGTAAAAAAGAACCCAATTTAAAAATGGGCAAAGGACTTGAATAGACATTTCTCCAAATAAGATATGCAAATGACCAACAAGTTTTGGCCAGGATGTGAGGAAATTGGAACCCTCTTGCATAGGTGGTGGGAATGTAAAATGGTGCAGCAGCTGTGGAAGATGCTTAGGCAGTGCCTCAAACATTAAGCAAAGTGAAATAAGCCATTCACAAAAGGACCAATATTGTGCAGTTGGGCTTATATGAGGTACCTAGAGTAGGCAAATTCATAGAAACAGAAAGTAGAATAGAGATATCAGGGGCTGTGGGTGGGATGGTAGAGGGGAGAGAAGATGGGGAATCAGCATTTAAGGGGTACAGAGTTTCTGCTTGGGTTGATGAAAAAGTTGTAGAAATAGATAGTGGTAGTAGTTACACAACATCATGAATGTACTGAATGCCACTGAATTTTACACTTAAATTTGGTTAAAATGGTAACTTTTCTGTTATGTATATTTTACCATAATTTTTAGAAATCAGGAGGGAAAAGGGAATTATGTCTGTGCTCATCAATAGACATTTATGATGCCAGGGATCCAGAAGTGAAGAAATCAGTGTTCAGCTTGGGAAATGGAACCTATGCATTCTTCTACAGTTATATGGCCTGGACAGAGACAAAGAGAAGTCTCTCTCAAATGAGAATTCATTGTCTATTTTGAATTACATTGAATGAATTTGAAATGTTACCAGTGAGTTTTAAACAAACAGCTATGTCTTTAGTGATCCTTGCATAAGGGAACAACAGGATGGTGTGTAATAGCACAGCTTTGATAGCCCAGCAGGTGGTTCTGTTGTTGTTGTTATTTTGCATTATGGGGGTATGACATTCCAGAAGGACTTGATGAATTTTTTAAATCCCAACGTATTATTTGATGTTCCTTAAAACATATCCAAACACAGATTTATCATGATTGCTGTTAAGACTATGTGGTGTTCATATAATGTTAATAATAGCCAGCTTCCATTTATTGAATGCTTGTTTGGGCACATTTTCTTTCTTCTTCTTCTTCTTCTCCCCAAAGCCCCCCTAGTACGTAGTCATATATTCTAGTTGTAGGTCCTTCGGGCTCTGCTGTGTGGGAACCACCTCAGCATGGCCTGATGAGCGGTGCTATGTCTGCACCCAGGATCTGAACTGACGAAATGCTGGGCCACCAAAGCGGAGCATGCAAATTTAACCACTCGGACACAGGGCCGACCCCTGACCCTTTGTATCTTTAAGACATCCGGTTCGGGGGTGGCCCCCACACATTATATTGATAATTTAATTTTCACAATAGCTTTATGAGGTAACTATCACAGTTGCTCCCATTTTTTCAGATGAGGGAACTAAATAGAAAGATTATCTAACTTTCCCAGTTAACAGTTGCGATTGAACCTCGGTATCAGACCCTAAGCTTTAGTTTTTTTCAGGAGTAAAAATGTGAGGAGATTAAACCATCTAAAATCTTTTGCATTTTTTTACATCCACAGTTTATAATTAGATGTTAGTGCTGCCTTCTATTGGAAGCGAGATTCTGAATCTGGAAAAGCCCTTAAAGTGCTAGAAAGTGTTATGACAAGATAGTCTTACTAGTCTCACTACAGCATTAGTAGGGGGCCTAAATTTGCCATTTGAGAATTCTTTCACTTAAACAAACCCTCTTGTCACATTAACATGGCAAGACATATTATGTTAGCTTTTTAATATTAATAGAATTCTCTTTATTGAATATTTTCTAAGATAAAGTGGTTTGGTATGAAATTACTGTTTTTTACAACTGGAGGAGGCTTCTGCCTCTTCCTCCACGGCAGTTATTTTGCGCTGCCTGCATTCTCTTCACACCTGTTCTGCCACCTGTCACCCAGCAGATGATGCTGTCCTCACACCAGTGAGAAGATACACAGTGGCCCCCCCATGGCTTTCCGTCCCTCACATGTAAATTCCTTGCATCCTCAGTCCTCGATACTGGCCTCCTTTCCCTGTCACCCCGCCTCAACAAAGTGGATCTCTAACTCCCTCCCCTTAAAAGCCTGCTGCCAGTAAGCTCCCGCTCTCCTCTGTTCCCCACCCCTGCCCATCCCAGCACAATGCCCCTGGCACCTGGTGAACCCACTAGTTATTTATCAAATGGGTGAAGCAAACATTTGCCTGGGAAAAACGGAGCTTGTTTTCCTGTAGAGATGCAATCTACCATAGTGCTACAGTCATTTTATTTCAGATACAGTGTACTTCAGGGCCTTTATACACTTTATGAGGCCCTGAAGAGCGAGTGTCTCAGCGGATTGTTTTTTTTCTGTATCAACATAATACCTAAACAACTAAGTAGTCCACACACTTTAGGAATAAAACCGTAAGTTGGGATGCTTGTGTTTTCAAAGTACTTAGGTTTGTCTCCCACTAGACATAAGCTCTGTCAGGGTAGGACATTTCTGTTACCCCCTGCTGTGTCCCTTGGGCCCAGGTCAGAGTAGGACCTGGCACCCTGTGGGTATTCAGTAAATAAAGGATAAATAAATATGGCAGTGCTATGTGGAGGTGCAGGAAAGCTCGTGGGTGGAAAGCATGAATATTTCTCCTTTGAATCGTTGCAATGGCGTCAATAAACCAGATCACTAAAATGTATATAAATTTAACATTTTCAGGCTTAAGTGCTTTGCTTTTTCTTAAGGATTCTGTGATTTGGGAGTAGGAAGGAGGAATGGCCTGCTATTTAAAAAAATGGTTAAATTTATTTTCTGGTATTTGACACCCAGTCCTCAAGGGGCAATGCATAGGTTTTTATCAAGAACAGTGAAAATCAAAGTAGGATTACTTGATCAGCATTTGGTCTCCATCCTTTTGAGTGTCATTTCCCTACATGTGTTACTGACATGGAGCAATTAGGCACAATTAACTTTTTAATAAGATAATTGCCCTTTCACTTTATATCCTTATATCCATTTGCCAAGAAAAAAGATGAATTCTAACATTATCACCTGGAGTCCTTAAAATGTGAATGTTATTACTAATGCAGATTTCTATCCACCATCTTGACAAGACCAGATGCACGTTGGCCTTAACCTTTAACACATCTTCACTTTGTTCCATTTCCTCATTTTCAGACTCCATCCATCCTTGCTTCTGCAAGCTGTTTTGGTTGATGAAAAAGAAGTTTGGTTATACTGGTTTGCAAGATATTTCTTTCATTGGGTGGTTTGGTTTGTTTTTCAGTCTGCTCTATCTGGACACAAACATCTGACAGTGGAAGAATTATTTGGAACCTCTTTGCCAAAGGAACAGCCAACAGTTGTTGGTCTGGATTCAGAAGAATTGGATAAGCTGCCAGGAGATGCCTCCCAGAAAGAGCCCAGCTCATTCCTACCATTTTCCTTTGAGCAGTCAGGAGGGGCCCCTCAGTCAGAAAACCTGGGTGTGCATCCTGCTGCCCACCACTCAGTCCAACCTGAAGTCACCACCCCAGTGCTAATCACTCCTGCCTCCATCACACAGTCCAGTGAAAAGCAGGCCCCCAACTATGCGATCCCGTTGCGCCCTGTGCTCAGTCCCACTCTGCCAGCAGAAGCTCCTCCTGCACAGGTTCCTCCTACCTTACCCCGAAAGACCGCCATGATGCAGGCAGTGAAGACCACGCCTAGACAGAGGTCTCCGCTCCTGAGTCAGCCAGTCCCTGAGCTGAGCCACGCCAGTCTAACTGCCAGCCACAGCCCCTTCAGGGCCCCACAGAGCATGACAAACACAGCTGGTCCGTCCCTCCCAAGCATTGATCTTCTCCAGAAACTCAGGTTGACCCCACAGCATGACCAAATACAGATACAGTCACTTGGGAAAGGTGCAGTGGCACCCAGCTTTTCTCCAGCAGCCGGCCAGCTGGCCACGCCTGAGAGCTTCATAGAGCCTCCCCCTAAGACAGCAGCAGCAAGAGCCTCAGCCTCGCTGAGCACCATGGTGCTTGCTCCCCTTCAGGTACTGGTGGAAGCGCGGGTGGCTGTAATTGGGTGGGATGAGCCTACAAAGACATTGATTTTGACTGACGTGAGACAGGCGTTTTAAAGAGACAACTGTTGAGTATGTCGGGCTAAATGAAAGGGAGGTAAGAAGCCCTGTGAACAACCAAATAATTGGTAAATGGTGTTTAACTGAATTCCGCTACCCAAAGTTGTTTCAACTGATAAAAGCTAAGAAACAGTGTTTGTATTTTTCTATCAGGGTCTGCACTTTAGGGTTTTTTGTTTGTTTTTTCCTGACAGTTCCAGGAGTTCTCATTTGACTCAAGACCGTAGATCCAAATTATCCTAGGCTTTGTTCCATTCCCAGCTCCCTCAGTACTCTCGTTGAGTGCCTGCCTTGTGCCAGGCACACTAGGGGTCCCAGAGTTACAGGTATGAGGTCAAATAAAGCTTCCCAGTGAAATTGATGTTTCAGCCAAGATCTGAAGGCTCAGTAGAGGTTAACCAGACCTTTCCCAGAGGTGGGAAAAGTGTTTGCGGTAAGAAGAGCATGTTCAGAGACCTCGAGATGAGAAGGCATTTGCTGAACTTAAAGAACTTCAGTGTGACTGGATCTACTGTGGAAAGAAACTTGGAGAAGTGGATGTTGGTTAATGACCAAGACTTTGTAAATTGTGTTCAGTTAGAGCTTTGTTCCCAGAGCCCTGGGGAGTCTTTCAAGGGCTTTGAGCAATGGGTGACATGCTAGGAAAGGAGAGGACGACATAGAATGACCCATCAGGAAGGAGGCTGTGGGAGTCCCCCAGGCTTGAGCTGCTGGGGCCTGAATTGGGGAGTGTGGACGAGTGGATTTGTTAAGACATGTGACCAGTGGGACTTGGTAGATGGGTGTGGAGGATGAAGAAGAGGTTTGTCCCTCAATGATTTATACGGTGGGTGAGTCTAAAATCAGTTCAGAGTTGAAGTGACTTGTGCAAGATCACAGAACTGAAAGAGGGTAGAACCTTCTGCTCTGAAACAGTATTGGTTGCCTTTCAGAATTTTAGTCTCGTGCCCTTTAATAGTAATAATAATCTCCAATCTTAACATTTTACCAAATAGTATTATAAAGAAGAGCCCATCATAATAATTCTGTATTATTTCTTAATGGGATATATTGTTCCATTCCTTTGAAATCTTATACAGAAAGAGAGGAAACTTAGGAGCTTGGTTACATCATTAAATTGTTATTTGGGGCCATTTCTGTTGCAGTTCTCTGCAGCATAAGGAGGGGAGAGAGTGTCTAACAGATAGGCACCACGCCCCTGAGCTGTTCCTGCTGCCACTGTTGTGCTGCTCTGGAAGTGCAGCCAGCAGTCTTGAGTGCCACCCTCTCCCCGTTCTGACCTCTGGGACAGTGCTCTGCTCTCTAGCACGCCTCCTTGCCGAGGAAGCTTACAGATGTGTCACTTTTCGTTTACATGGCAGTCTGGAATTTTAGGACCTGGGGCTTGGTTGAGTTCTAATGTATTTGCCCTACAACAAGAAGTTCTTTGTCTCCCGATGAATGAGGACAAAATTTAGCATGTGGAAATGGGACTCTGAAATGAAGACTGTTTAGTGCCAACTGTCCAAAGTTGAAATCACCTTATCAAGAGGTAGCATGTTGCCAGGATCTTGCATCTCTACAGACTCAACAGCAAAAGTATATTCGGGCTGTCCCCAGCTCCTAGAAGAGATGCGGGTTGCAGCTGTTTCCTTAGAGATGCTTTAAAGGCTTTGTACACACCCTTTTTCTGGGAGGACCTGAAAGGAGTCGGGGGCTGTCCCAAAGCTCTCATCCTGCAGTCGAGTCATTGGTTGCATTGTCACAAGTTTCTGTCACCCTCTTCCCTGAGGAATCTAGGAATAGTTAACGTCTGAACTATTCCTTATTGCTAACCTAGATTTTCCCCAGTAACTAGGAAACCTTAATAGAAGCTTGCTACATCTGTTCATCTTTTCTTTTTAAACATTGCAGTCTATGCAGCAAAACCAGGATCCTGAAGTCTTTGCCCAGCCTAAAGTGTTATCCAGTGCCATTCCGGTAAGGACTCCCTTTTTCTGAAGAACACTTTATGTATGTTTAAGTTCTTCATCTGAATGTGAAGTAAAACATTGTCCCTTGAGTGGAAAGTTTTAGCTTTCAGGCCTAGACCCAGCTTAGAGTCCCTCTCTCAGGCCAGGCTCCCGCTGCTCCCCCAGACAAGGTTCACTGCTCTGGCCTCTGGAGGCCTCCATTGTCTCTCTGTATGAATGTCTCCTGAGACCGTGTGGTATACGAGGGGGAGTCAGCCGCAGGGTGGGCACTCACTGGTGTTTGTGAATGGGTGGCAGCTGGGAGCATGTCCGCCTGGCCTCTATGAGTAGGAAGCAGCCTTGCCTGGGAAGAACTGTGCTGTCCCGGTTAACAGTCACCACTGTGTTGCAGTGCCCTCGTTGGCTCCCGTTGCTCTAATGACAAAGCCTCCCAGGCCTGCATGCTCTGTCCCTTGCTTGTTCTCCCCTGCCCCATTTTTTAAAGTTGTCCCCACCCTCCATTACCTACCAACCTTGAAATGCACACTTAATTTTTTCAGTTCCTAAAATTTGACGTTCCCATTTCCCTTCGAGCCTTTACACATCTGCTTGAGTCTCAGAATTTAAAGCCAGCTTTTGACTGGTCTTGTTAACCGGTCTTTCCTGTAGCTTGTCCTGCTATGGGTGGGAGCTCTCAGCCTAGTGTTGCATCAAAAAACAACCTAAAGGCTCAAACACCAGAAACCACACCCTTAAAACTATGGCAAGCTCTTTGCTGTTTGTAAATGAGGAGGATGACAGATAGGAAGAAGAGATCTCTGTTGGTTGTATCAAATGTGAGAATTATTAAAAGTACTGATTGTTACTAGTGTAGTGTATTCTGATGGTTAGCCACTATCAGCCTAGAAGCACATCTAAATGGGTGAAGGAGATAGACGTTAGTTTTGTTTTTAAGAAATGTATCTTTGAGGGGCCAGCCCTGTGGCCAAGTGGTTAAGTTCACGTGCTCTGCTGCGGTGGCCCAGGGTTTCACCAGTTCGAATCCTGGGTACGGACATGGCACCGCTCGTTAGGCCATGCTGAGGCGGCATCCCACATGCCACAACTAGAAGGACCCACAACTAAAAGTACACAACTATGTACCTGGGGGCTTTGGGAGAAAAAGGAAAAATAAAAAAATCTTTAAAAAAAAGAAATGTATTTTTGATACCTGTAATGGTATAATAAATATATTGAACACTACAAAAGAAACTAATACTTCACATAACTGGGAAACAGTTCTCTTTTTATTGAAGTAAAATTTACATATGATAAAATACAGGGGTTTTTAATGAATTTATCACATGTAGATCCCTTGGGTAACCACCTAATCAAGACATGTAACATTTCATCACCCCAGAAAGTTCCTGCATGCCCCCTTCCAGTCCTTTCCCTGTCCCCCACATATAAACTACATTTCTTGTGCATATCATGCTATTATTTATCGTATGCCCCTTCCGTGATTAGCCAACTTGGCTTCCCATAACAGCTTAGGGCATTCTTAGCGTGTAAATGGGCTCTTCATCCTTTAGCTGACAAGCTTCATAACTAGACGTAAAATGCTCAAAGCCTTCTACTGAATGTTTATCTGAACCCCAGATAGTTGGCGTTGGACTCTGCACATGCCTCTCATCACCCTCTACTCTGGGTGGCTGCTGGCTTCCACACTTTGGTGCAAAATGACACACTGTTTCCCTGCAGGTTGCTGGCCCCCCACTGGTTACTGCAACAACCACGGCAGTGTCTTCAGTCCTGCTGTCCCCAAGTGTGTTCCAGCAGACAACTACAAGGTCCACAGACCTTGAGAAGAAAGCAAGCTCGCCTTCTCCTCTAACCGTTGGAACATCAGAAAGTCAGAGAAAGCCTTCCATTATTCTGAGCAAGTCTCAGCTCCAGGATACATTAATACATCTAATAAAGGTATGTAGGCTATCAATTTAGTCTTTGAATTTTCATTCTTTAATTAAAAGAAAAGACAAATTTTTAAGTTCTTCTTAGAAAATCAGTTCATAAAGTAACTTCAAGACCAGCCAGGAATAATACTTCTCTGTTCCTGAGCATACACTCCTGATGGGAAGATTGCTGAGTGAATTCCAAAATGTTAATCATGGTTGCTTTTGGATGGTGAGATTCTTTGGTATTAGTTACACAAATCGTTTGTACAGCTTTTTTCCTAAGCTGTTATCAAGGCGGTAAATTCTAATGAGGTAAATGTGGCATTACCATCTCTTCCAGAATGATTCCAGCTTCCTCAGTATGCTTCATGAAGTCTACTTGCAGGTTCTGACCAAGAACAAAGACAACCACAACCTATGACTGGAGCAGGATGAATCTGAAGGCAGAACGTCGACCTCAGAAACACGTAGGCCTCGTCATGGAAACTTCTAAACAGAACATTGACTTTTGAGAATCCTGAAATTGAGCCTATGAAAAAGAGACTCGTTCCTTAAGAATGTTTTCCAAGTGACGTTCTCAGTGATAATGGAGGTTTCACTGTGAAGCATCACCAGCAGACCTTTGTTTTGACAAAAAAAAGACCATTGTGTTAAGTTGTATGGGTGTTTTCATTAGCTGTGAGCAAGTATGAGACTAAGGAGCCTGAGTCTCAGCTTGCTTTCACTCTCAAGGTCTTAGGGAGGAGTGGCCACGGTTCAGCCCTGCCCACACCCCTCCGGCCTCCACTCCCCTCTCCCCCTCCTCCCTAGAAACTTGAGCATTAGGCTAATAGTTAAGTTCTGAACAGAGCAGAAGTCAGCTCTGTGCTAATTGGCTTCATGATTTAAGGATCAATGTTCAAGTTGGCAAATTAGGACTAATTTGTTCAAGTGAAGTATGTTTTATATGAATGCCCCATTTGGGCCTTAAAAGTTCTGAAATTTCTTAATTCTGTTTTGTTTTTAAGTGTCCCCAGTGCTGGCATGCGGTGGGCTCCCAACATGGGTTACCATTAGAATAGGGCCCTGACGGGCCCTGTGGTGGTGTGGGAGCGGGCGTGTCACACCTTTGAAGCAAAGGCTGGGGCTGGTAAAGCCTGAATTCTATCAGAAATGTTCACTTTAAGTTAGACTCTCAGTGGTTTTGAAAATGTTAAGTTTGTGTGTGAAGCATAGCCTTACTTTCCTTCTCTGTCTAAACACAGTCAGAAGTCATTGTTGATTGTTTTCCTCAACATTGACAAAAGGACCAGTGGACCAATCTGACAAAGCCATTCTGGTTTAATTCCTCGAGTCTACTGAGAATAGTTTTAAAGCTATGCAGAAAAGGGAGCTGTTATTCACACTGCCCTTACTTTATTGTAGAATATGGAGTTAAAAACAGAGTGTGAAATTCAGAACTTTACCAATGTATTCCTAGGCTGTGAGTACTTTTGCAGCCCAAAGTGTGAAAATATGTAAAGATGCTTTGTATGCTGCTATTGATCTGCCATGATTTCTATTTATTCTTTTACGGCATGTAATGGTGATCAGTAATATTTTAATGTAGATTTTGATTTATTTCAGCAATAGTAATTTTAAGATATTCTTTGAATGAAAGTGTCTTTGTTTCTATGATACAGGTCATTTTGTAGTATTTAACCAATTAAGATGCACTGCTTACTTTTCTGAGCACTATTTAATGATGGGGTGAAAACCCAATTGGCTCAACCAGCTAGCATAAGGATTAGCTGTGAATAGCGCTGGCAGATGTGATGGTTCCTCAGGAACAATCGTTTAAGCTTTAATGGTAACTCAGTCAGAAGTCCATAGATTTTTTTCTAGCTGAGATTTTAGAAAATTACTTGTGAATTACATGCGTGTTTTAGTTTGGTCTTAGTTTTTTAGCATAAGGAATATTTTGTTTGATTGGCTTTTGTTAATCTAAACATGTTTCCTGGACAACTCTTCTGCTTCTCAGTTTACTGTCTTCTGTTGCTGTCTCCCTAGTTGCTTGTGAACTGTGCAGAAGTCAGGGAAGCTTCTAAGTTCTCAGACTCAATTAGAAATAGTTTGTTTTCAAAGGTAGTGTGTAAATTCAGCAACCAGAAATGAATTGCTCATGCACCACCTGGGAAAGAGAAATTTATGGTAAGATAGAGAGTGTTGCTGACACCAGGAGGTAGTGTCCAGGGAGCCACGTGCCTGTTCTCAGAAAACAGTTGCACCGGTAGGTGTGATCACACCCCGAGTGTGGTCTCGGTGGGCTTTGGTAAGTGGAAGAGTCAGGGGATTCTTATTATAATAGACATTTGAATTGAAATGATGATTTGAGTATGTATGATATTATGAGTTGAGGAAGTATCGTAAAGAGGGTCTATAATCAAATCTGATGATGTTCACCCTTGAACCCAAGGAATGAATATGATAGACGGTAAAGAGAATCTGTGATAAAGTTTCCTTAGTGTGAAAGTAAACTTTTAAGTGCCCAAGTCATGGAGACTTGAAAAGGATAAACCTGTTCCAACTCCCAAATTCATGTATTCAAAGCATTTACTTAAAATTCAGAAACCAGAAGTTCACCATCACGATTACCAGGAAGTTCAGGCCAGAATGAGTCCCTGGAACACTCAGGCCACGCCTGCACAGTCGCAGTTGTATGACCCTAGCCCGACAGTCACGGTTCAGTTGCCTTATTCCTCCTTCAGGCTACTGTCCAGAACCTCATGCTAGCTTAGGCTGCATGTGTACCTTGCTGCAGGGAGTTTAGTGGAACCCTAGTTTTAAACCTTAGTTAATCAGAAAGGACACCAAAACAGAGAGACTTCTTGCTAGGTTTTGCAGAACTCTAGGTGACCTGCATTTAGGCCACCCTGTCTATCTAGATGCCCACCCTCAACCCCAGTGGGTGTCACTGCTCTACTTATGATGTAATTAATGTGATGTCTTTGAATGGACTCCTGCATCTCCAGACAGCCTTGTTCCTTTAAGGCAGAAGCTCCTCATTGTGCACCTCTCCCGAGATTTGTAAGGTGTGACTGAATTCTAGGTTTTCAAGTGACTGTAGGTGTCAGGAGAAGCATTTCATGCCATCTGCATGTGAATGTCCACAGCTTCCTGTCGAAGGCTTGTGAGTAGCCATCAGAGTGCTGTTCTGTCAAGAGCCCAAGTTGACCTGGGTCCTTCTCTGCCGGAGGATGTACAGGCTTAGTTTAGAAGATGTCTGACCCAATTTTACATGTAGAGCATTTGTTCTTTTTCTGCTTATGTTTCCTTGTAAAAATTATAAACCCCATTGAATCCTTTCCTAGGTAAATATTTTTAAACCGTGCAGCTTTATTACTCTCCTCCCCAAAGAATGTAGTTTGAAATTGTCTCATTTTGGTAGTAGAGGCCATAACTGCCATTGTATTACTAATAATGCAACATGAAATTGAAGGTGCCTAACTGCTTAAAAAACAAAATTAGCCATCATACTGTAACTCTGGGCAAACGGAACACAGAGGAATGAGAGGTGGCGCAGGCACGAGTGGGCTCAGTCCGTGTGAAGACACGCATCGCAGGGACGTGCGTCCTGCCTTCTTGCTGCACGTTTGCTGCTGAGCACGTGTTTCTTTCTGACCTGGCTTTGGTTTCCTCCACTTGTATTCATAGTATCTTCTGGAACCAATGGTGCCCTGTGTTTTCAAGTGTCTAAAATCTTAAGATTGGAACCAAGTAAAGCAACTTACACTGACTTTAAAAGCTGTGCTTGAGAACATTTCCCTGAGTGGGCCGGGGCCGCAAGGAGCCTGTTCTTCAGCAGATTCAGCAGGAGAGATGTGTGCGATGTCTCACTCAGTTTTATATTTAACATCCTCATTTGAAATGCTGAGATGCAATATCGTTCACTTTGAGTGGGGGAAATGCAAAATTGTGTTTCCCTTTTATCTGTGTGATTCCCTAAGAAACACGTTTTTAAAATAATGTGTTCTGAGTGGTTTTTTATTCTGTATTACTGCTTTGGCTGTGTGCTCTCGTGACTTTCAGTATACCAGACTCTCTGTTTTCTGCAGTGGGAGGATGAGAAGCTCTGGAATCACAGCAAGATTTTTGTTCCATGAGCGCAATACTGCATCAGTAACGTTTTTAATGGTATGGATTTTATATCATCTGTGTATGTTTGCAAATATTAAGTTATTACATGTTTTCAAATGAGCATTTTTCATCCTAAATTTTATATGTTTGCAAATATATTTTTTTAATAAAAGTTCAAAACCAAGTTTTAGCACCTACCAAATTTTAATTGTGTTTTTATTTAATTTATAGAAATAGGAACTTTTGAATGAGTTGCTACACGTTGCCAGAGCCTCATACTAGTGAGATGGGGTGGGGCAAGAGAATAAAACTGACACAGAAAACTTGTCTGCCTGTGTCCAGCCTGTTCCCGGCCAGCTGGAGCACATGCCACGTGGGTTCTTAGGTCTGAAAAAGCCGGTGTCTGTCAATTCAATGAGCACTTCCCTCCCCAGGAGCTCAGCATTGTGTGTGTAAGAGATATGAGCGGGCATCTAAGGAACTTCATTTACTCCTCCAAGCGTTCCCAGATAGAGGCTACAGTTCCAACTAGTCAGCGCCCAGAGCACTGTTTCATAGGGGACTTCACGTCTGGGACGTTTCCCACACTCACTCAACTCATGGTTATTGAGCTGTCATGTGCCAGGCATATAGGATGATAAGGAAAGAAAGAGGGAAGGAGGAAAGGAAAATATGATCGTTATGGGAAATAGAGAAAACTTTAAAGAAAAAAAAAATGAGTTAATCATGTATCTCCCTATTATTTGGTAACATTTTAATATGTTTCCAAACGAAATTCTCCCCAAAATGTTTGCTACACCTGCCTGCTTTCTTAGAGCAGAGCTGTGCTAACTCTTGCTTTATGACTGGTTTTTATGCCCACACACCAGTCGTCATTAACACTACATGTGCATTCAACACTTAAGGATCGCTGTCCCACTGTTTTCTTGACCTTCACAATAACCCATTTTAAGGAGAAGGAAGTTGAAGCTGAGAGTGATTGAGGGATGTGCCAAAGGTTGCTTACTAAGCCAGTGGTGGGTCAAGGACCTGAAGCCAAGCAGGCTGGAGAGCTGATCTGTTATTCCTTTCTTGACTCCGTTGCCTCCATGATAAATTATTCTAGATTGCTTTTTATAGTTTCTTAGGTCACTCGTCACCACTATTAAGAGTGGTCTGCTCACCTGCTGTTTTTCGTCTGTCATAACCTAGGAAACCAGGTAACTAGGTTCATTGGAATTTCATAAAAAACTAAAGTCAGTGGTAAGAGCTGTAGAGGATAGAGTTTTAGGTTTCTAGGAAGTTCCTAATGACGTTTTCACTCTCTTTATGCATGCTGGTTCATAGGTTAGAGAGAGATTGTTGAGCCTTCTGGGAAGAAGTGTTCGTCTCAGAGAGCATCAGAACCAGCCAGCCTCCTACTGGATGAGAAGCTAGAAATCAGGCTGCCGAGTTGTCACTGTGAGGGAAGCTCGTCTTTAGATGAAGCCAGGTCCTTGGAACGCAGAAGGGAAGAGCATCAAGAGACAGTCACTCAGATGAACACTGGTGCTCATCCTACATTTCCATCTTTCAGACAGCGCATACTGGGTTTCTCTGTTAAATGTAAAGAAGCTAACAGGTTTCTAAAGGGCTTAGATCAATTCAAGATTCTAAACCTTCTAGAGTTTGCTAATTGGAGTTAGGCAAGAAGACAGCTGCCATACTCATACAGATGGAACCCCTGGCGAACCTGTGCTGTCCAAACACTGGTGGGAAGGAGGATGGGGCTCCCAGCGTCGCACGAGCCTGACACACGTCTCTTAAGGTTCTCCAGGCTAAATTAGCTTATGATTCAATGTAAGAGATTTCTTACAACCAACAGAGGTAGAATGGCTTCAAAGGAGGTGATGCAAAGTCCTCGCGAGTCACATCATGTTCCCCATGCATTTCTTTCAGATGAGTTTGAATGAATTTGAAGTGCAGTTCCACAAGTAATCATAACTGGCGTTTGTCATGTGCTGCGTGCTTCGGGTGCATTCTCATGTAAGCTGCTCCACACCTGAGAGGTGGGTGTTCAAAGTGCAGCCTCGAGAACACAACAACCCCGGCACAAAGGACACCAACTTCCTGTCGTCCCTGGGAGGTGCAGAGGCACTGGCTGTGGTTAGACTGATACAGTCCGTCAGTCTGAAAAGGGGCCCGGAATGTGGAGCCCAGCAGGCAGCCACAGACCACAGGAATGGCTATTTTCTTGCCAGGTCCCTGTCACTCCAGAAAGATGAGTCTGGCACTGCCTGGTCCGGGGCAAATCTCGAGGAGGCACCCTTAGCAAACCACGCCTGTTGTCTGTGGAGTCTCTTGGAGTGTTGGCTTCTGAAGCAGGTGCAAAACCTGGACCGCTACACATTTTGCTACCCAAGCCCCATTTTGTCGTTTCTATCTCTGATATCCCCCTGCCCGGAGAGTTTGCCCCTCCCAGGCCTCTCCCAAGAAGGGGTCTTTCCCCTGAATAAAGCTGGCTAATACCCTCTCCCCATCCTGCTGACACTGAGAGGTTGCCCTACTTCTGTTTGACCTCTGCCCCCCACCAGGCCCTTTTGAAGGGAAAAGGGACTAACAGTGGTGTGCGCCGGCAGTAGCCCCCAATTGGGGTGAGCCCATGTGGTCTGACCAGGAGCCTCCACTGGGCAGGCCACTCACCTCCTTTTTAACAAATATTTTGTAATTCCCCCTTTCCCCTCCTGACCTGGAATTCATAGAGAATGCAACCTGTGCCTACACACATCATTTCAAAATAATGCCTTAATTGTGATATAAAGGAGAAATTTTAAACAATGTATAATGAAATGTTCCATGTTAAACATGTAAATACTTGGGCATCTACACAAATTCTCAAAATGCCCCCGTTGAGAAGCCCTGGTCTTCACTCTGACACTTCTCCCCACCCCACCCAAAAGATCGCAGCTCTCCCACAAAGAGCCTGTCCAGGGCCCAACGCACATGGGAGTCAGCCTCCCGCACCCCTCCATCGCCCACAGCCCCGGCTGTCAGCACCCATCGCCCTGACTCACCTGGGTTCTTGCCCAAAAGGGGACTGAAGAGCAGTTTGCACTCCAGCCCAAGACAGTGAGCTTATTAATCAGTGCTCCCGGAGGACTCTGGAGTCCTTGAACGATGGGCCAGGTGTGATGGAAAGGGCACCTTTGATCCCCCAGCACCTCCTCCGTCTGTGTCTCAGGGACGGGGCAGAGAAAGTGCAGGCAGGTGGGAGGAGGGACACTCGCACATGCTGTTAGTCCTCATCTGACCCTTGCGGCTAGAGGTTGCAGCTATTCTGCCCCAGACACCATGGCACACACGCCCCCACACACGCCCATGGGAGTGTGTGCTGCTCCCGTGAGGCTGTGGCTGTGAGGAGAACCGGGGCTGCTTGAGCCCCTTTGTACCCGGTGTGGCACGTAGTGGAGGTGCGTGTCACTATTTGTGGAATACGGTGAATTCCACCCTCACAAGCAGCTGGGAGACGCATGTTGTCACCTCATTTTTCAGACGAGGGAACTGACGATTGAGTAATTTGCCTAAGGCAATCAGTCCAAGTTCACCCAGCTAGAGAGCAGCGGAGGCAAGACCTGAAGCGGACCTACCCCGCCTCCCTCTGGGTTCACGGCAGGTGGAGAAAGCGTCTGGGTCCCTGGAACATTTTGGAGAACACTTTGAAATGACAGAGGTGGCGCTCCCGGGACGGGGCCTTGATGGGCGGAGGGGCTGCTTCACCCACTGTGATGATTCCCCATCACCCCTCGCACGTGTGGCTCTCAGAGGGCTTCTCAGCCTAGGCCAGAGGTGGGCATGAGAGGCTCAGAGGCATCCTGCCAGGACACTGGCAGAGCAGGGAAACTGAGGCCCAGGGCAGGAGGTGGGTGTAGGCCCAGCTCACTCTTTCCCTCCACAGCCGTTGCTGCTTTCCAATACAGTGTTTTAAAATTTAAAGTGGGTTTATTGCCTCAGTTCCCCTCACCCATGCCAGCTTGACTCAGGGGTAATTCTGTTGCAGGGAACACTGTTATTTCAAAACTTGCTGTCCATGGTCGCCTCCTCCTTGGAGCCTTCCATGATCTGCACCCTCAGCAGACAATTCTTTTGTACAGATCACAGGACAGTGCCACGTGTACACATGGTCCCTGCCAACCTGTGACCTGTGACCTGTGAGCCAAGAACCGAGACAGGATCATCATTCTTCCCCAGGCATCTAGCACGAATGTACTGATGAGCGAATCAAAGAGTCAAGGATGGCAAAACCGTTTCTCGGTCCTGACCAGGTGATGGCAGCCACAGCACTTTTCTGTTTGCACAGGAGTACAAAGCGATGCTTTACCAAGGCCTCCCTAAGTCTCCAGAACAGGACAGCCACCTGGCTGCTGTGCTGATTCAGGGCGGGGGTAGGAGAGAGTGAGAGTAAAAGCCATGTGTTTGGAGGGCAACTAACCTGGCCTTGGGGCTTCCTGCATCTCCTCGAGAATCCTCCCACTCAATGGCCTGGCGAGGGAGGCACCGTTAATGCCTTCGCATTTCCTGTGGCTCAGAGCTGTGAAAGGGCCCCCTACATGCCCTTCTCCAGGGCGCTTTCGTCCAACCCTAAGTAACCACTCTCTTCAGAGAGTCAGCAACTGCCCAGGGAAAATCTGCTTAATCCCCCCACAGTAAAACAACACGTTCATCTTTAATATCCACAGGAACAAAAGAGCCACCTCCACCACGCCAGCTTGCCCAGGGAAACCCAGGAGCTCTGAGAAAAGGGGCCAAATGTGAAGCTCTCCCCCTACTCTGTCCAGCAGCCCCTGCAAGGTGGGGCCCAACTGCCCTAAAAGTGCCTGGACTAAAGAGCACTGTCCCAGCCCAGCCTGGCAAGGCACCCCTGGGAAGGAGCTGTCCGAGGCTGTGGAGGTAGCTCCCTGCTCCCCACCCAGGGAGGTGCCCAGGCTCCACTACTCAAATTGCAAGCTACAATGACTAGGCATCTTTTCCTTACGGACAAGGAAAGCAGGCCTGGCAGGGCTTGGCAGGGCTCCATACGGGTGCTCACCTTTCAGGAGCGCGAGGTCTCTGCAGCCCCAGGTCTTCCGAGTGACTCAGAGGATCAACCACCCAGTCTGATCCTGGGATTGGCCAAGGACATACGGTGTTGACTGGAAAAAAGCCCTCTCTCCCGGAAGCACAGTGCTGGCTGGAGTGAAAG